CTGTGCCTTACTTCTGAGGTTGCCTCCTTGTTCCTTCTCATCTAGCAGCTGCGAGTCTGCAGGCCAGTCTCACTTCAAGTACAGTTTTTTTGCAGGGCAATAATTATTTTTGATCAGGAGCTCAAATGCCAGTGTTGGACCTCCCCTGCTCCAGTGGGAAAGTGATCTAACTTTTAAAGTGTGCAGCAAAAATAAAAAGGGGAGCGGCGTGTATGCGGTGAATTTTGCTTGGTGGAGGCTCTCATGCAAATAAAATAGAGTTGGGGTCTGCAAGCCAGAAAGTGTGCTGGTTCTTTCCGGGCTTGGGGTGGTGCGTGGTGGCTGCTGCACCTTTGCAGCACCCGTGTTTTGGGTGCAGCTTCTGCAGGCTGCGTGCTTGGTGGAAGTCACTGTTTGCCTGAACTGCCGAGCGGCTGTTCTTGGGAGTTCTTGCACTGAAAGTAAGAGTGTTTGTTTTACTGATATTTCAAAAGAGTTTGAAATCTGCATGGTTGCTCAGATCTTATTTCAGAAGAGTTGTCAAGGAAAATAGCATTTGTTCTCCTGTCAGCAGGCAGATTAGCATAAAATATCAACTTTGATGTTGTGTGCAGTGTGCTCCTCATCCATAGCCTCTGGTTTGGAGAGTTAACTGTGTCATAGATGTTTGAACACTCTGGGAAATGTCCCCAAGGACAGTGTGTGCCATTTGGGCAGCAAACAGCTCTGGGGCACTGGGAGGTTTTGATCAGCTCTTCCTGTTTTCTGCAGCGGCTCATCCGAACTATATTAAAGTGAAATAAATAAATGTGATCACTTTGCTGTTGCTGGGAAATATGGTAGAATAGCCACCTCTTCCCCGGGTGTCTGGGACTTCCCCACAACCTCTAGTTTGGTCTAAAGACAAACTGGCTCCCTTTACTGCTCGTTCACTTTTTTGGGGCAGTCAGGTGCTCTGGAGCTTGGAGGAGGTTAAGTGGAAGGGAGTAGGGAAGAGGGAACACTGGTGCTTAACCAAAACCTGCACAGCTTGCAGGTCCTGGGCCTCAGGGAGGGTAGTTCCTTTAAAAAGGAACAAACCTGCTGATCCAGGATGGATTTTTTTTCAAGTGTGTGTTGCTGGGGCTGGAGAGAGGTGGAGGATTGAAGGTGTGAGGCTGTAAAGACTGATCAAGTGTGCGCCTGTGTACAAGGTGAAGGGAAACATGTTTTTACTGCTCAGCAAAGTATTTTATTTTGCTGTTAAAAATCTTCTGAACGAAGATACTCTCTCCTTCCATCAGATCCCTTTACTCTGTTAAGCTTGACTGTTCAAAAATCCTTCCCTGCTCTTTTTATTTTTCTACAATGCCACTGTAGTGCGAGGGCTTGGAGGTTCTCCTGGTAAGTAAATGTCATGTGGAGGAGAGAGGTTTCTAAAGTGATCTTCACCTCTGCAGGGAGACACATGGAGATGGAGGGCTGTAAATGGAGTCATGGGAAAATCATGGAGCTCATAATGTGGTTCTGACCTGTGTTTCAAGGGTTGCTAGTGCAGGGCTCTCATTAAGGCCAAAATCAGCTGCAGTTTGCACATACGCTTGTCTGATATGCGTTTCCCAACAGGCACTAGGCCAGATCTAGATATAGAGCAGAGAATAACCCCCATCGAGAGATTCTTAGGAAGCCTTATCTATATATAGTCTATATAAGTCTGTATTCCCTTTCTGCTGAGAGGACAGTCTCTGCCTGGGGAACACGATTAATGCAGATACACCCCAGTTTCTGAGAACCAGGCAAAGGTCCACAAGTATCACGTCTGCTGCATCCTGTGGGGGGGATCCTTAACCTGTCCTGGCTCCTGCTGCGATGGGTTGCAGTGGGGAATTCTCTGCCGAGGGCCCCAGCTGCACCACCCTGTGCCGTGACCGTGCTGGTGTGGCAAGCTGGTGGCACGCTCCTGCGGCCAGCTAAGCTTATCCTCTGGGGAAGCACGCAGCAGCCGTCGGCCAGAGGGAACAGCTGCGAAGGCTGGGGCACATCCTTCATGCAGAAGTGGTGGTGCCTGCATCTTCGGAGCACGTTGGCCTGTTGGGTGCTCTCATTAAAGCAGTGAGGTCGCAGCTTGGCAAGCGCTTGTCATGAAACAGCTCTTGTAGGACTTTTATTGTCAGGGCAATTCCCGTTCTTGCAGCTGCTTACGAGGGTGTGCCGTGAGAGGAGCCTGCACAGACATACTGCTTCTTCTGGAATGAGAAACAATTTGCAGTGCTCAGCCCACCTGCTTCATCCTAATGCAGAAAAAAAAAAACAAAAAAAACCAAAAAAAAACCAACCCCAAAAAAACCCCAAACTAGCAGGTGGCTTAGATCAGAAGTGGGAACACACAGCGAGGTGGACAAGGCTGCCCTTTCACACAGCAGTGTGGTCTCCTATTAATTTATGGGAGGGTGGAGTTTTACAGTTAGGATGCCTAAGGCCATTTCCAACCAGCCTGCCTTTCCATATAGTATGTGACTTTTTCCAACTGGTGCACCACCGGGTTTTGTAGCTGTCCTGGCAGCTGCTGAGGGCCAGCGGTGGAGGAGCACAGCCTTCTTTTCTGCTGCAAAGAGTTTGCTGCTTACCTAGTGTTTTTGCAGTGCATCCTGAAATCAAAGAAATGAGAGTCTGGGGAGCTTTGTACCAGCTTGAAGTGTCGGTCTGTGAATAGCTCCTGAGGTTCTGTTGGACCTGCTGGAGGCACAGCTGCTCTTTGCATGCATGTAGCTCTGGGATTGTGGGTCTAGGTTGTTTTTTTTTTGAAGAACAGCCTTATTTTCTATACTGGAGGGGCTGATTCCTTTCTCTTGTCTTTCAGGGAGCTGGTCTGGCAGCGTAACTCTTAACCCTGTTCAGGCTGGAACCTTGACAAGACATGCTCTGCCTTTCCGAAGCCCATGAAAGTCACAGGGCTGTTGGAGGACATCTCCTCGCGCACATTTTTACAAATATAGCAGGATTGTTTGAGGTCACTCAGTCTTGAGTTTCTTCAGGGAGAGCACACTTCAGCTGGAGGCTGTGCCAGAGCTAGATTTGACTGCCTCTGGAGGGGCTGTTCTGAAAACGGGTGTCTGTAACATGGGGTCTAATCTCAAGACAATCCTGCAAACTCCAGCTCATCAAATATGCGTGCAGTCTTTTTTTTCCACCTTGTCACGTGTGTCCTGATTTCACGGCTGCTTCAACTGTGAGAACTTGGTAGTGTGTAACGGGGACAGGGACATTACCGTTCTCAGCAGAGCAATTGTAGTATCCATTTCCTGGCTGTGGGGAACCAGCATCAGGGCTTTCTACCTTTTTACCGTTCCATCTGTGCAGTGAGTAGTTGTGGGTGTAAGACACAAGCATTTACCGGTCCTCCGCCTGTTACAGCAAAGCTCCAGTAGCTCACTCACTGAAGAACTCTCTCAGGTGTGGTGAGGCCGCGATGTGTACTGCCCTGACACTCTTCAGGTAAGGTTATCGCTAGCTTTCACCAGCTCCTCCGAGGCTGATGTGTCTAGTGGCTCTTTGTGACCTCCCTGCTTAGGCTGCTGCTTGCCAGCACCTCCTGCCTTGTGCCAGTGCAGCATTGGAGACTTCACATGGTAAAGGGGACCAGGGCAGGATTTGGGTGATGGAGGTGAGGAGGTGGGTTGTGTTTCAGTTGGATCAGTTCTCTGCTGTGCTTCGCTGCACGATGGTCCGAATGGTCGTGCAGGCAGAGTGGAGATGAGGACGGAGCTGGTAACCTATTTAATAGAGCGCTGCTGCTGGAAAGGCATCAAGTGGAAGCAATAAGTGGTTTTGCGTGCTCCCAATGCATGCACCGCACTTCTAATTTAGCAGAGCTTCTCTTTAGGATGGGGAAATGATTTTTAATGACTGTGGGAGGAGAAGTCCAGCCCCTTGTTTAAAGGCTTGTGTTTTAGCTGTGTGCTAGAAACCCTGGGTGGTCCAAAGTCTTGTGTGTGTTCTCCAGCTCGGGGCTGCTGTTGTCAGAGCTGCAGAGTGGGTCAAGGGGAAGAGGTGGTTGGAGTGGAGGTGGTCTCTCCTTCTTTTGGGCTCTAAGGGGAGGTCTCTGGTGGGAAGATGGTTTTGGGAGCTAGGCTCTTTGCAAGGAGATTGTCAGACAGGCACTTTCTAACTTGAATAATTGACAGTGTAACCAAAGCTACTGGAGATTGTTGAGGATGTAACTGAATCTTTCACACCGATTCTTATGCAAATTCAAACATGTGCTCATGGTTTCTAATGGGACACCTACAAACACAACTGGCTCCATTCAGAACTCTGCATCCGTGCACTCGATCTTTAATTGCTAATGGCTTTATAGTAAAAGCGTGACTTGCAGAGATGCATCTGTAACAGTTTCTCCGTGCTGCTCTTACCTGAATACATGAAGTTTCCCTATAGATTTTACCTAAGTGACCTGTGGAGGTTCTGGCACGTTGTTTGGTGCTGAAGCTGTCCATTGCCATGCTGCTTTGGTTCAGTAGCAAAATGAGCTTGAACATTTCAATGCTGTTTTCTTTGCTGATGTGTTGGGGCTCATTGAAGGAAAACTAAATGACATTAAGTTCTGCAGAAAATGATTTGGTGTATTTAAGACTGAGTGCAAATAATCTTAAGTTTCTACCCAGTAAATTTATAACTGTGAGTTGATGAGCACGTTTGATAAGTAGTATTTTTGGGCTCCTGGGAGGGGAGATTGGTGTCTGCGACCTCCTGGCATAGCTTCAAAATTAGGTTTGGGGTTCTTTTTCTTTTTCATATATGTGCCATGTGGTAGTGGAACAGTTGGTCAAAGCCATGTGGACTTAATTTCTTTAAAATATAAACAGCCTAGAAATGTTTGTTTATGTACAAAACACTCAGCCAGTGACTGTAAGCATTTCCATGTTTCTACAAGAAATGAAGGTAATTGTATAATAAGCAAAGATTCATATGGCTTAACTTGTTTCCCATCTGGCATTACTTAAGTTGATGTTCATCTACATGACCTCTTGGGGTGGGGAGAAATGATGAAAATAGGAAACATGGCTGAAAAAGACCTTCCTAGGTCATCTTTTAGCCCATGTAAAGGCTGGAGCAGCTCCGCTGAGCAACCCCTGACAGCTGCTTGGGGGAGTGACTATTCCCCCTCTGCCATGGTACATGGTACGGGGCAGTTTTTGCAGGGGTTTTAGAACGGGCAGTTTTAGTTGACCGAGGAGTTGCCTGTCCTGTATACAGTCCTTCCCCAGCGTATAAATTTATATTCAGACTAAAGGGATTAACTACAGCAGGAAGAGCTTCCTTCTTAAAAGAAAGCTATTGTTAGAGCATCATTTATCACAAATCTCTAGTAGTTCTAATCCTGCTCTTCTCCCACAGCCCTTTTCACCCTTCCCATCCGCCTGCTGATTTACAGTTTGCAGGGTCTGCTCTGAGTTTCTTGGAGCTGTCCTGCAGCCTTCCTCTGTGATCTCTTCCTCTTGGACGGGCAGTTCTTGGTGTCAAAAGGATCATTCCAAAACATCCCCTTTCATGAAAATATACCTGCATGCTTTCTAACTGCTAGAAAGATGATATGCTGCTTTCCTGATCAAGTTGCACCCACTGCCTTAAAATGAAGGATTTGCAAGGAAAGCTGAGAACTGCAAGAACTGGATCATATATATTTCATGTTGCTAGTGGCTTGCTATGGGCTGAACTCCCTTTTATTTGCTCTTCTATCTCTTCCTGATGCTGCGCCTGAGAGCATGCCAGAATTTAAGGTGCTCCGATTTCTCTTTCAGGCTGGCGGGATCTGTATCTTCTGCCAGGATTCTGCTTTATTTTGCTTAATAGAGTTGAAGGCCATTAATGTAGGCTTTGTCCTTGCTTCACAAATAGACTTTTTGAGTGTCTCCAGGTACTTGGATAAGCTTTGTCTGCTCATGTTCCGTCCCAGTGAGGATCTGAGACAGATGCTTGCAGATACCAAAGCAGATCAGAGGATTTTTTCCTCCCGACATGTAGCATTCGGCAGCTCAAGTGTAAAGCTGCTCACTGAGACAAAACTCTGTTGGCTCTTTCCCCTTGGCCCATGGGGATGTGCTTGCGGATCAGAAGCCTGGCCAGTGCTTAGTTCATGCAAGCAGGCAGAGTTTTTTCCGGGGATAACGGATGTCAGAGGTCGATTTCCTCACTTCAGTCTTTGGTCAGCGTGCTCCTGTTTTTCTGATGCGTAAGTGGCAGGTCCTGCTGGGTGTCCTCAAAAAACATTTATAAGAAGCTTTTGCTGTTCCTTCAATTGTTTCCTTGTTCCAGGATCATAACCCAAACATACATGCAGCCTGGCAGTGCTGAGCAGCTCTGTTTATGTTCCTCCTGCACCTGCGTTCAAGGCCAGTTTCTGGTGCTGGTCTCTTGCCATGCACATGTTGAGCGCAAAGCGCTCAGCTCTTCTTGGTGCCCCGCATCAAGTGCTGATGGTACGGCATTTTGAAGATGCGTCTGCCTTGTCTGGGTTCAGATGCCGAGGTTTGCTTTGCAGCATTGCTCTCCTGCAGGTCCGAGAAGCATGGGTCCTGGGGGTTTTGCCTTTGAAAAGTGCTAGCGTTCAAGAGGACCTCGGGATGAAAAAGCCTGTTGCACCCAGGTGCTCGAGTACACGCTATCGTCCAGAGCTGGGTTGTGAGTAGGTTTAGCCTGACCTCACCAACATCTCAGCCACATGCTGCCTTCTGCGTTCTTGTGGTATTTACTTCTCCTCTCAGCGTTGCCGCAGGCCACTGCTGTGGTTTCAAGTTGTGAAAGCAACGCGCAGTGCTTGGCTTCCCAGCGGACTTGGAGTCAGTGCATGCTTTTCTGCAGACCAGGTCACTCTAAAACTATCTGGTGAATATTAGTAAAGTCATACAGTTCTTCACAACGCTTCTTTTGAATGCCGTGTAAATGACTCTAGCAGTAAAACAAGCAACTGCGCAGGAATCCTGCTTTGCTTCTCTCTGCCTAGCAGTGTGCTGGATTGCCACCACGGTGAGCTCTCAGGGGTAGCTTTTGGTTTAGGACAACTGTAAGATGATTTCGCTCTGCTTTTCTTTGCTTCTGGCTGGTGGTGGTCAGATTTGCTGATGGTTCATATTTTAGCTGGGAAAAATGCCCCTTGTTGGGATTCTGGTATGTCTGTATACAATCAAAAATGTTGAGTGGGCTGGGAATAGCTTCCAGCAAAGTTGTATCAGTTTCTTGGAGCTCTTTTGTTCGGTGGAAATTCCTTTCTTTTCTCTCCCCCTTCCCGTCCCCCTGACAGCCCACCTCTTTTCTACAAGGACGTGCTGAGGTATAATTCACAATGGTGTGACTGAAGTGAAATATGCACAGCTGCAAATGCATTTTTGAATGATACTTCATTGTTAAGGCATCTCTCTGTGAACAGGTTTGCGGTTCCAGTAGCCAAGTGATCAGAATGTGGTAACAAAGAGGATTTTGTTGAAAACACTTGACTGTCTTATCAGGCTCTGAGAATGTTTTGACCGCTCACTACTTTTGAGTGCAAATAGGAAGTATCTGGAGCAGGGTAGATCCACAGTGGGGAAATGCGTTAGATGTGTCCCTGAGAAAAGGGTACGTAGTTGAGTTTTCCTTTGCTCTCCCTGCATTGTATTGCAGAAATCATGTGACAGTTGGAATACAATAAAGGACACATTAGACAAAAGTTGTATTGATGTTTGAAGCATCAGGAATATCCAGTCTCGCATGCTACAGCTCTCTTCTACTTTCCAACTGAATGGAGAAATTTTGCAACTCTTTCCTCTTTGGATCCATCAGACTTGACGCTTTTATGATTTCTTGCTTTTTATGGTGCATAACAAAGCCCACCAACTGGAAGCTGCAGACATACCTTATTCTATGGCAGTCACTGTGGCCCAGGGCTGCCAGGGTTTGGTATGGGGCTGACTGAATCACAGCCATACCAAGAGACAACGTCTGTTTATAGGCAAGCTAAAATAGATTTATTGACATCCGGGACATCACAGAAGGCTTGTACCAGTTTAAAAGGCAGAATTTGGTATAGCTTAGCGTGAACAACTCTTTAATCTCTGGAAAGTCAACAGTTCATCTGGTCTCCCATAGTTCCTGTCTCTCAGACAGTGAATTCGGGCTCCTTCTCTAGCTTGCTGTCTTGGTTCCAAAATTATCGCCAGATTTTCCAAGCTATTACATTAGTAACTTTGGGCTTTTCTCCGGTGAGTGAATTCAGAGTATCCACCCACCCTCCAAGCGGGCCTGCTCTGAGTAGAAGCTAATCCGTGTTTGAGATGGTATGTCTGCAGAGGACATGAGTATCAGTCATGGGGAGCCATCTGTCTCTGCAGTGTTCTTGCTGATTCAGGTGTGAAAACAGAGAAATGACTCAGTAAGTTGTAGTTATATGAACAATTGTGTGTGGTCAGAATTCTCATACACATAATATACAAAAATCACTTAGTGAAACAGTTGTAGCGTGCACTTTCCAGTGTTTCCTTTCAGCCTATTTTGAGGTGCTTGGTGTGAGCTGATGAGCTCACCTTTGCTTCATCGTGGTGGAAACGAAGGCTCAAAATAAACACCTGAGGAGTGGTAGCAAATCTACACTGGCTCTATGCAGAGCTCAGGCTCACCAGGATTGTGGGAGCTCCCAAAACACTTTTCCTGTTCTCTCCGTCTGCAGGGAAATATGATTTCTTCAGAGACGTGGATTTGACTGCCTCAGTACTGACTATCGTGCCAACCCGTGGCCTGGGAGAATTCTTGCAAATTGCAAGCAAAATCTTAAAATGGGAGGCATTATACTACTGTTTGTAAGGTGTTAAAAGGTAGGGATGGCCCCTGTCATGATGGCCTCAGTGTGGACCCAGACTCCAAAGAAAAAGAGCATGAGGGATGGTGGGTTTGGATTGCTCTGTGACAGATGGGCACAGAGAAGCAGGTTTAATGTTTTACAGATACCCTGACAGGGAACTTCTTGCACCATCCTTTTAAATCTCAGCTCAATCTGCCAGATGTGGAACTTTTAACAGCTTTAGAAAGTGTGGTGTTCAGTAGGTCATTTGCCTGTTAGTGTATTTGAGGCTATTGGTGAAAAACCTCAGCAATCAGAAACATATAATGCATGTAAATACATTTCATGTGTGACTAGCCATAGGCCCCGATGCCAAGTGTGATGTGCTTGGTATTAGCTGTAGTCATGTGGTGAAAATCAGAAGTTGAGTGTGGTCCTCTGAGGAGGGCATAAAATGAAGGATACATTTCATCCTGATGGTTGAAAAAATGTTGTGGTACTTGTCCCTATCTCATCCCTAACTGTTTCTGTGACAGAAATGCTCTTTGACAGCCTAAGTACGTGCACCTGCTTTAAGGATGCTCCTTGCCTCATCCATAAACAGAAGCACCGGCCACAAAATGATGCTGATACCTATTGCTTGCTCTTAGCATCACTGTCATGTCATTAGCTGATTGCATCAGGCAAATGTATTAGAAGGGAACATTTTCAGAGAACTGAGACTGGTCTGGCTGTAGAGCATGGTCTCCATGAGTGATCTCATGGTGTGGTCCTGTTCACAAATGTAGTAACTCTATCTTGATGCTGGATAGGCTCCTCAATAATCCCTCCCAGCAGGGAACCTTAATATCCTGCTGAGGAAGAGCCGCCTCGCATCCAGCCTCCTCTTGTTCATGCCTCATTTACCTCTGTCTGCTTATTCTGTAGAGTGTCTACAGTTTATCTTGATAAATCTAGGTTCAGTGGGAACTTGTAGGCCTGATGAAAGGTTGTGGGGACTGAATGAGTTATGATTGTTATAAATCACTTACTGTTTTATGGCTTGTATTCAGCGTTAAAATCTTATGGGGGTCTGGAACAAGTTCTCAGCAGTAAAGACCAGCATCTCAGAGCTCCTTGCGTCTACCACGGCTTACTCTTGCTTGTTTACACAGGTCACTCTTCTATTTTAATAAATATTCTTGACAAATCGAACTAACAAGTTCAGGCATTTGGTTTGCTTTGCTGCTCCCTTATTGCTTTCAGGAATGAAATATCACCAGCAATGATGCTGAAGAAATGTAATATCTAAATAATATTGAATCTCTGCTTGCCAGCTCAACTTCTGACAGCTGCTGAAGAGGTTTAGAATCTTAAGCAAATGCAAATGTTTCTCC